TATTTTTAAAAAGAGTCAGTACAAATGGGAACTTTTCTACTATTTGGAGGTTAAGTAATTTCATTGGGATTCAATTCTTAACATGTTCTTTCTATAATGGTTTTCTCTTTGGCCTCTGAGTGATGTTAAAGTGTTCCTAAATTTCCCAACATGCAGGAAATGAAAAGTTTGGCTATCTTTTAGTCAATGATTTGTTATTTTATTTAATTTTCTGCAGAAAATGGGACATGTATGACATAGATATTTTGGAATTTCTTAAGACTTGTTTTGTGGCTCAGTCCTTACTCAGTTTTCCAAAATAGTCCTTATATGCTTGTAAAGAATGTGTTTTATCTCATTGCTGAATGCAAGGTTCTATGTAGGTCCATTGAGACAAACTTACATCTAAAATTTACGTGTAAACTTTATATGAAAAAGTAAACAAATTACGGCAATGATTAATAAGAAACCTAGGAAAGTAATGCAAAGGGACCAAATGTTAAAATCATTCGGACAGTTGTGATAACCAGATCAAAACGGTGCCGTTCACAATAAGGAAGACAGGTCAGGGAAACAGAATAGAGGGTCAAGAAATAGAAATTTTTGATAAGGCGAAACCTCCGATCAGTAGAGAGCTAGTCAAGGAATACAGCGAGGCAACTGGACATGACCTAAAAAGGAAGCCACAGTTGGAAACTTACCTTACATCTTATACCAGGAAAAGTTACAGATAGACTAATGATTTAAATGTAAACAAAATAGATTATAAAAGTATTAGAATAAATTATTATAACTGTTCTTTTCTGATTGTTTCAATTCTTTATGCTACAAAATGGGGGAAATCTTTCTAATGATGACTCAAATATCAGCACCTATAAAAGATTAATGAATTCAAAAGCATTTTAAAAATTGTCACAGCAAAAGGAAAAAATGGAAACTCCTTCCACACGCAGGACGAATCTCCCTAATATAAAAGAACTCTTTTGAAATAGGCCAATGCCTCAGCAGAGAAAAACGGCAAAAGATAGGAAAATACATTTCTCAGAAAAGGATATACAAATGACTTTCAAAACTGGCTTTAAAATATAATTATTCTCATAGTAAGAGAAATTTAAAAAAAAAACTAAAATAACATTTTTAACTGTAATATTAAGAATAAAACCTTGATAGCGTTCTCCTTGGATAGACATTAGGAAAACAGGTACTCATTTATTTTTTCTAGGAATGTAATTTGGTGCCATCTCTGTGAAGCACCACTTGGCAATATATACCAAAATGACCAATATGTATACCCACTGATGAAACAGGTCCTCTGCCAGGAATTTATCCCACAAGATGCTATTTTTTATGGCCTCACCTTTATTTTCCACCTTTTATTGTCATTGTATTTTGAGTGTGCACCTTCTAAACCAATTCAGAACTGAAGGACATTTTCCCTTTTATGATAATCTCTTTCAGTAAGAGCATTTAACTCACTCACACTTTTTACGATAACATACATACTTGGATGTTTTTCTCTCCATATTTTTTCCTTAGGAACAGAAGGATGTTTAACCAGCCTTTGAGAGAATGCTGATATAGTTTTATTCATTCTCTCTTCTCTATTCTCTTGGAAATTCATTTTATTTTTCAGAATAGGTATTCCTGAACTTTCATATGCTTAATTATTTGATGTCTAAAGGTTATCAATAACTTTATCCTTACCTCATTCAAGGCAGAGCTACTACCTTTGACCCAGATTACCTTCCTCTCATCTTCCCTGCTATTCCTTTCTAGTATCTTAGCCCCGCTTTGTAAACCTGCCATACTGATGATTTAAAACCCTTGTGATAGTCACTGCTTGTTTACTCTTAATACATTCTACAATTTATCTACTATGAGTTCTTTCATCTCATCTCTTTGTCCTGTGCTCGAGTTACTTTTTAATAAATGTATCCTTTGGTAAAGTTGATGATTCAGAGGTTAAAAAAATACCCCTCAGTCTTAATCCAATACATTCAATTTGTCTTTGTTTTTGAAGGATTATTTTACTAAGTAGTACTGTAAATGAATAATTTTTGTTCTTTGAGCACATTGAACATTTCTTACCTTTTCTCTGACCTCTATTTTATTAATGAGAAATGTAATTTTGGTCTCATTTGGATCTTTTCTTATAAACTGTCTTGTGTTTCTAGTTGCTTTTTCCTTGACTTTGGACTTTCACGGTGTTTCTGTAGCGTGTCTAGATCTGCATTTTTCATCTGAATGTTCACAACTTTCTTCAGTTATGAAAAATTCCCAGTCATTATTGCTTCGAATATTGTCTTTCCCCGTGATCTATCCTTTCCTCTGGAGCTCTGTTAGTCACTCAGGGGAGCGTGGGTGCCTCGGGTCTGGGGACTTCCTGAGATCTTCCCCATTGCCTCACCTCCCTGCGCTGTCCCAGCTCCTCCCAGCTCCACGATCCAGATCACTAACGCTTTTCTCATTTGTGGCTAATTAATTGTTTAACCTAGCTATGGAATTTTTAAGTTAATGATGCTATATTTTTTCTAAAAGTTGTATTTTTAAGTGAAATCTTTTTCCCTGTTAAGCATTTTAAATTATCTGAGCTTGTATTCTTCTGTTTGCTGTTGCCTTCAGAGCTCATTTCCGTGCTCATTGGTCTATTGAGTCTTCTTCCTTTTGGTGACTCCATTGTCACAGTAGTGATACATTTTTCATTGTGAGCTCATCTGTATTATGGGTTGCATTTTCTGTGCCAGTCCCATGTACGAGATTATGCAAGGGTTCACGTTTTTGCATTTGGTTGTGCCCAGGCCCCAAGAATTTCCTTTTCAACATCTGAGGCTAATTTTTTTCCTTAATTTCTGAGCTTCTGATTTCCTAGGTTTCTATTTCTCAGAGGAGGTTTGTCCCATTGAGAGCTATGTGAAACACCAAGTTCTCTTTTTGTTTCCATGAACTAGTGGAAAGAGATTTTCCAGTTTCTTTTTCACAGGTGAGGCAGCACTTCAAGTGTCCTGGTTGTATGTGGGAGTCTCAGATTAACTCCCTTCGCTCACCAAATGCTCTGTTTTTCTGAAGGCATTGTAACCTTATTCCCAGCGTCATGGTCTAATCTGACACTTCCTGGGATCTCCTGGAACCGGCTGGGGCTCACTTCTGTGGCTGGGTCTTGTCTTTATCTTTAGCATCTGAGGATGTCTTGAGCTCAGCTTTGCATTGGGCACATTTTACTTCTGATTTTTTTTTTAAAGACTATAGCAGTTGATGGGTCCATTTCAGTCTTGCATGCCATCTTGCCTGAAATTTGCTGCATTTTTACCCTTAAGAGCATTTTTCCTGTTAAAAAGTCTGAATTTTAGCATTAAAAATCTCATGTACTATATGATTATAGTTGTATATCCAATATCATTGAAAAGTATAAGATGAGAAATTATTTTCAGATATTCATCACAACTGCATTCACACACATTTGAAAAATAATAGTACATCTACTTGTAAAATATATTATATGTATTTTATGTAGACAGTGATTAATGCCTATGTAATTTGTAAGACCTCTTGCAATAACTCAATAGCTGCCTCAAGGGTTGAGAAACACTGTTAAGTCTTTATTTTAGAAACATCACAATAAGTCCAAAGGAGGTTATAATATATTACCAGATAATTATGCTTTTTCAGATTAATTTGTGTTTCTGAGCAAGATCCTTGGTAATTATAACAGCAGTCATAAGAGCAGATATTTTCAATGAAATTTTAATCGCTAATAGAAGCAAAGATATGGAAAGCATAAGAGTCAGTCTCAGATTGGAGTTTTTTCATGAAAGTCATTAACCTCTGATATAGTTTGGCTCTATGTCTCCATCCAAATCTCATTTCAAATTGTAATCCCCACGTGTTCAGGGAGGAACCTAGTAGGAGGTGACTGGATCATGGGGGCAGTTTCCCTCATGCTGTTCTTATGATAGTGAGTGAGTTCTCCTTGGCTTCCACCATGATTGTAAGTTTCCTGAGGCCTCCCCAGCCATGCAGAAGTGTGAATCCATTAAACCTCTTTCATTTATAAATTACCCAGCCTTAGGTATTTCTTTATAGCAGTGTGAAAATGGACTAATACAACCCCACTGTGTTTCTGATGTTTCAGCATAGCATTACTACCTTACACATTTGTTATAGGGATAAATATTTGACAGGCAAGGTCAAGTTAAAATTTCATTGCTTCTGACCAAAAGTCACTGTAAGACTTAAAGGTCACATAGTAGGTACTATGTGATCTTTAAAAAGTTATAAAACATGAATTTTAAAGATATATTTTATGAGTAAAAACACTTCACCTTTCTGGAGCTAATATCAATGTAGTCATTAATCTGGGTATTAACATATAATTTTAACAGATATGTCTAAAACAGTTCTTCTTGCTCTATGCCCCACTGTGAGCAATTTTCTTTTAATTCTGGGTTTCTTAAACTTTAAAGTAGATTCCCAAATTTGAAAACTGTTATTTTTATGGTAAATAAATGAGTTATCCTAAGAATGAAAAATTTACTGAAACACCTTAGCTGAAATAAGGTTCGTTTTCACATAAACCTTAAAAATGACTTTTTGTGAATCTAAATTAACAAAAGGAGCCAACAATTGAGAAGAACTCTTAAAAATAGTAGTCACAGTGTCTCTCTCTCTCTCTCACACACACACACACACACACACACTCAGATATATAAATCTTAAATTATTCTTATCAGCTTTTTAAAAATAAGGACCTCTTATTGTTCTTTATATGGACAAATTTTAATATGTTTACATTTGATGATATTATAAAAAACAGAAATGTTGCCAAAGTTTTAAAAGTAAATGGAATTTTTTAAATGTACAACTATTAGATATCAATTTAAAAAATACAAGAAAACTCAGAATAGCCAATTAAGCCCTGAATGATTTCTAGTGAAATGAGGGAAAACATAAGGGTCAGGAAGCCTGTCTTATCTATTAAAATAGTGATAAAATTCCTGAAATGTAAATAATCACTGCAACGCTAATAAGAGAAAAATAGTATTTTATTTGCAGAATACATAAGGTTGTAGAATACGTGAATTTATAGAAACTTACATCCTCCTTCATGGTACAGAGTCAGTGTTAAACAGCAGACCCTAGGTGCAGCTGCCCTCCCTCTGGCCGAGACACAACCACTCATCATCTGGTCATTGTTCCTTAGCGAGGCAGCCCTCTCAAGGAAGTTAACACAGGGCAGATTCCAAACGTCAGAATTAAAATTCAACACATGCCTATTGAATATCCACCTATTGTGTGCCCAGCACTCATCTAGGCAGTGACAAGCTCCCTAAAAAACAGAACTTAAAAAACTGTAATGAATAAATGATGAGGCTACAAAAAAAATCAAACAGGGTGATAGACAATGGTAGGATGGCCTCACAGAACTGAAATTGAGATGAAAGGACTTGCCAGTGGCAGAGAGGTCTGGAGAGGAGAGCAATGTGCTATGGACTGAACCGTGCCTCACTGCCCCCCTCCAATTCATTATGTTGAAGGGCAAATCCCAATGTGGCTGTATTTGGAGATGGAGCCTAGATGGAGATAATAAAGAATGGTGTGGAAAAGTGAGATCCTAAGGGCAGGGCCTTAGTCCAATAGGACTATTGCCTTTATAAGAAGAGAAAGACCAGAGCTGTCTCTCTGCATGCACACAGAGGAAAGGCCCTGTGAGGACACATTGAGAAGATGACTGTCTGCACTGTCTACAAGTGAGGAGGAGATCCCTCCACAAACCCCGACTATGTTGATGTAGTCAGCATATGATCTCCAATTTCCAGTCTGCAGAACTGTGAGAAAATATATGTCTGTTTTTGAAGCCACCCCGTCCATGGTATTTGTTCTGGCAGCCTGGGTTCAAGACGTACAGTCAAAGAGTCTCTAAGGAGGAAGTGCAGCAGGACTTTCCTTTAGTTCAGCTGAAGACAGGGATTTTTGTCCCATGGCCATGAAAATTCAGGCTCACAGACAATTTGAATTTGGATGAGTAAGACAGGGTATTATTGGGTGAAAAAGAGAAAGGAGGGAAACAGGGACTCTCGCTAGGCCAGAGTTGCTGCTACAGCACCTCCCACCCAGCCATTAGAATCCTGGTTTCCACACAGGAAGAAGAGGGGCCAGGCTCCTCCCTGATGCAGATGCTGGGAACTCTTGTGGCTCCTCCCAGTAGGCAGGTCAGTTGAAGAGGATGGACATTCTCCGAGGACCCCTTCCCACCTGGCTGTCTCAAAACAAGTGAGGTCAGGCCAGACCAGGGATTGGAAGGGAGGGAATTAGGGCGACCTCCCAGCGTCAGGGGTACAACTTCACCAGGTCAGTTGTGTTGTGCTGAGGAGAACAGAAAGGGGATTTGAGATTAGACACAAAAAAGGCACTGGTGACCTTGATAAAAACAGCTTCAGTGAAATCGTGGGGAGTGGGTTAAAGAGGGAATGGGAATGAGGAAGCGAAGGCAGTGATGATGAAGAATTCTTTTGAAATACTTTACCGTGAAGAACAATGTGGAAATGGAGGGGCTACTGGGGGGAGTGTGGAAATGGAGCTGGGACTGGGGATGGTGTGGAAATAGAGAGGGGACTGGGGAGAGTGTGGAAATGGAACAGTGGCTTTTCAGAAAAAGTACATTTGACAGAAGTCAGATATATTATTAAAACACACACATACACACCTATACACACATGCACACACACATATATCCATACATGCAAACACACATTTGTACCCACACACATAGACACACAGACACATGCATGCAAACAAGTGCCTGATGATTAATGGAATATGAGAGAGCTTACCAAAGCCTAGACCAAGTTCATCAACTGAAAACAAACTTATTATAATAAAAAAGAACCCTGGAAGAAATCTAGAAGGAATTTACATATAAAAAATCACCTTGTAATAAGTAGAACTGTATCTACAATGTTAAAATGTTTGTCTCAAAATATAATAACAAATTGTTGTTCTATTATTTTGTTGTTTTTTTTAATTTTGTTTTTTCTTTGGCATTTTATCATGGTAAAATACACATAAAACTTGCCATGTTTACCATTTCTAAGTGTACAGTTCAGTGGCATTAAGTGCATTCATAACGTGTGACCATGACCACCATCTAGTTCCAGAACTTTTTATCACCCCAAATGGAAACCTCATGCCCCTGGAGCAGTCACTTCCCATTATCCTTCCCCCCAGCTCTTAAGCAACCACTTTCTGTCTCTTAAATTTGTCTATTCTGAACCTTTCATGTAAATAGGATTGTACAGTGTGTGGTCTTTTGTGACTGGCCTCCTTCACTTAGAAAAATGTTTTCAAGTTTTGTCCATGTTGTGTCAAGTATCAGGTGCTCCACATCCTAGTCATTAGGCAAATGAAAATCTAAACCACAGGAAATATCATTTCACACACATTAGCATGGCCATAATCAAAACTACGGAAAATAACAAGTGTTGGTGAGAATGTGGAGAAATTGGAGCCCTCGTACATGGCTGGCGGGAATATAAAATGGTACAACTATTCTGGAAGCAGCTTGGCAGTTTCTTCTAAAACTAAATGTGCAACTCCCACACAACACAGCATCTGCACTCCTAGGTATATATCCAAAGGAATCGAAAACGGAATGGAAACCGGGTGTTCAAACAAAAGCTTGTCCAGTAATATTTACAGCAGCATTATTCACAATAACAAAATTGCAGAAGCAACCCAAATGTCTGTCAGCGAATTGATGGAGAACCAAAATGTGTTAAGTGCATGCAGTAGAGCATTGTTCAGCCATTGTTTCATGGTGCACTGGTCTGTGCCCACCTACCTCAAAGTTGGAGGAGGCTAAAGAGACAGGCAAATCTAGTTGCTTCGAAAGAAACTTTTAATAGGGACTTATAAAGAGAAGCCGTGTCTGTGCCCCTGGCAGTGATGAAATGAAACAGTGGGTCCTGCACAATGACTCCCCAAGACACAGGGCTTATGTGCTGTCAGAGAGGGGCGCACACACTTCAGAAGGAATGGCCAGGTATTTGGTGGGATTTATGGTAAGTAGGTGCTCTTACACAAGGAGCAACAGGTAAACTGGAAATCTCAGAGGCATTCCCGGAAATGAGCTTAACCAGAAGCCAACATGGCAGATTAGCACCCAGGGTGGAGTTGTTTTGGCTTCCACACTCCACCCCTCTAATGAGGCTCTTAAATCTCTCATGCCCTCTTCCACCATCGTCCCTGAGCCTTAGAGAGAGTGCTTGATTTTTGTCAAGGTTTAGCAGCAGAGCTTTGGCAATGAAAAATAGATCAGGCCCCATGGGATTCCAAATGAAGGAGGCTCACAGGCTGTTGAATTACCTCTAGTCTTCAGAATACCATGACTTCAATTTTCTCGGGAGTAATACAGCAAGAGATAAATAACATTAAAAATTTGCACTCAAGGATTACAGTCAAATGGGAATTTGTATCCCAGAACAACAAGAAAAAAGTACCGATTTCATTAAAGAGCCAACTAGAAGTATTACGAAGAAAATTAAAACCCGGTTCCTCCTTAGACTTGCCGATAGGAAATAATTCAGGATTTAGCCCAAATTGTAGGCAAATAATAAAAACTCAAGAACAATGGTGAGGGCTAGCATCCAAATTTTTTTTAATCTCTAGTTTCCCCATTTCTGCTAAGGATAAATCATAATAGGACCAATTTATCTTCAAAATAAATGTTGGTCTCATTATACGGGGCCTGGTTATTTGCATAAAATGTGGCAAGAATAGTGATCAGCCTGATATGCCTTTTTTTTTTTTTTTTTTAAGAAAGGGTCTCACTCTGTCACACAGACTAGAGTGCAATGGCACAATCTTGGCTCACTGCAGCCTTGGCCTCCTGACCTCAAGCAATCCTCCCATCTCAGCCTCCCAAGTAGCTAGGACCACAGGTGTGTGCCATCACTCTGGCAAATTTTTTATTTTTTGTAGAGACAGGGTATCAATATGTTGTCCAGACTGGTAGGCTCTTTTTAGGTAGACCTTGCTGGAACTTTTATAAGGAATTGTGCATTCTACTTTTTAAAAGCCTCAAGGCTAGGAGCCAATGATTCACCATTAGCCTGTGTGTGTAATACCTGTACCAATTCCTCTCTTCTTGAGGTCCCCCAATATCTTGAGGTTAACAGGCCTGTTAGAAAATGACATTCTTTACTTACCACAGGTCAGAAATCTTGTAAGAAAACCATATAGACAAGGTACTAGGCCAGTCTCTCCTAGAAAGACTATATAAAGTCAACCTCCATTCTTCAGTCTGGTCAATTCTGAAAATACGCCATTCCAGTCAAATCCTTGGCAAAATCACCAGTGTCTCCACTTATGCCCTGTGAGAAAAAAGATTCTTACTGAACTTATACAAATAACTCTATTGCTATCAGATAAGAATACTCATAAGTGGTTTTTAAATTTAAGGTAACTCAGGTAGAGAAAAACATAAAGTTTGCTCACAAAATTATACTTTACCCAACCTCTAAGCTATAAAGAGCTGAACAGGAAAAGAACTTTCCTACCTCTTCATCAATCAGAGTGGCAGCCTTCCAAGCAGCATTATATTCTTGTACATCCACCTCGGAACTGCCATCCTCAAGCCCTGCAGCTCTTTGGCAGTCAGGTGAGAGCTGCCTGTTGGGCACTATAGAATCCAGCAGTTCCTCACACAGTTCCAGAGTCAGTTGAACAAAGGCCGTGTCTGTGTCTCTGGTGGCAGTGAGATGAGCTGGTGGATCCCCACCTGTTGTTCTAATATTAAGGCAGCATATTTGCAGTGACAACAGAGATGCCAAAAAATGTACAAACAGGTCATAAAAAGAACCAGTGAAGGCTGGGTGCATTGGCTCATGCCTATAATGCCAGCACTTTGGGAGGCCAAGGTGGGTGGATCGCCTGAGGCCAGGTGATCTCTAATAAAAAAAAAAAATCTCTACTAAAAACAGTACAAAATTAACCAACTGTGGTGGTGCATGCCTGTAATCCCAGCTACTCGGAAAGCTGAGGGAGGAGAATCATTTGAACTCAGGAGACAGAGGTTGCAGTAAGCTGAGATCACACTATTGCACTCCAGTCTGGGCAACAAGAGCAAAACTCTGACCCAGGGGAAAAAAAAGAAGAAGAAAAGAACTAGTGAGAAGAGAATTTTTGGTAGGGAAGAACTACTGTGGTCAGTGATATTGGAGGATATAAAGATATAGAGATAATTTTTTTCTTTCTCAATCTCTCTCAATCTTCAATTTGACTTTTTCTCTCTTTTAATTGCTTCCTTTTCTGTTTCCTCATAACTTTTGTTTTTCAAAATATTGAGAATAGGAATTATGCAGATACTCCGTATTTGTTGTGTGAAGGCACATTATAAAGTAAAAAGGGGAAAAACAAATCTATTTGTAAGTTACCTCCGAGAGACACTTAAAATCTAATGTCAGAGGAAGGAAGAAAGCAAAGGGATAGAAAAAGATGTGATAGATAAACCAGTTACAGAAATATTAATATTATGTTGCACTGAGACAAACTGCATCAGTAATGATAAAGAGAATAAGGACATAAGGATAAATCGAACAATTAACCAGGAGGTTATAATAATGCTGAACCTCAATGTGCCAAACAACAAAGCCTGAGAGGTAGTGCCATGTCATATAGCCAAACTGCTTGGGCTTGAAACCTAGCTCCAGCACTGACTAGGCAAATTATTAAATTTCTTTCTGTTTCAGTTTCCTCATGTTGAAAATTAGAATTCTTTTTTTTTTTTTGAGACGGAGTTTCGCTCTTGTTACCCAGGCGGGAGTGCAATGGCGCGATCTCGGCTCACCGCAATCTCTGCCTCCTGGGCTCAGGCAATTCTCCTGCCTCAGCCTCCTGAGTAGCTGGGATTACAGGCACATGCCACCATGCCCAGCTAATTTTTTGTATTTTTAGTAGAGACGGGGTTTCACCATGTTGACCAGGATGGTCTTGATCTCTTGACCTCGTGATCCACCTGCCTCGGCCTACCAAAGTGCTGGGATTACAGGCATGAGCCACCGCGCCCGGCCGAAAATTAGAATATTAATAATGCCTACTTCTTCCAGTTGCTTGAGGATCAAATGAACTAGCACAGTGTGTACAATAGTGTCTGGCATCGCAAACATTGGTGTTATTATTGCTGCTTTTGTTGATGTTAGTAGTGTTGTCCCAAAACACATAAAGAAAAAATAGAATTCCAAGGAAAAATAGACATGTCAACAGTCTAAGTAGAAGACATGTCACTTGCTTTTCTCACTAAGATAAATATAAGTTTGGAAATGTTTAAGATAGCTGCAATAAAATATTTGAACAGGATGTCTTACATTTAAAGTCATTACAAAAAAGTAAATAAAACATAATGTGTGTACATACATAATGTAATGTTACATAACAAAACTACAAAATACCAAGAAAAAAGTAAATAAAAAACAACAACCAGAGACCAAAAAATAAGATGACAGAAGTTAAATTAGGCCATAAATGTAAATGACTTAATGTATTAAAATACAGCATCTTAGATCACACAGTAAAATACAAAATTTAATTTTATACTTAAAAGAAGCACTTGTAAAAGTGTGACAGTGAGCTAAAAGAATTAGCAAAACATACAGAAAAAAATTTTTTTTGAGATGGACTCTTGCTCTGTTGCCTAGGCAGGAGTGCTGTGGTGCAGTCTCAGCTCTCTGCAACCTCTGCCTGCTGAGTTCAAGCGATTCTCCTGCCTCAACCTCCTGAGTAGCTGGGATTACAGGTGTGTGCCACCACACCAGGCAAATTTTTGTATTTTTAGTAGAGACAGGGTTTCACCATGTTGGTCAGGCTAGTCTCAAAACTCCTAACCTCATGATCCACCCACCTCAGCCTCCCCAAGTGCTTACAGGCATGAGCCACCACTCCTGGCCCCAAAAATGTTTAAAATATATAGTATAGATGACTTTTTTTATTATGAAGTTAGTATACAAGGTAAAATTATACATGGCAACACTGGGCCTTTAGGACCTAAGAAAAAATAACTTTTTCAAATTGTACAAAATAATGTTTAAAAATATTTCCATATGCATATAAATCTCTGAAAAAAATTAAATATACATTCCATAAATGTATACTGAATAAAGTAAACTTTATAAATATAAAGGGAAAATAAAGTAAAACCGATGTCTGTATAAACCTACATTAGAGATTTTTTTTCTATGCTCCAGTTCCAAGAGCAGATTTGGATGTTACCTCTTACCTGCTTGCTTCCTTGGTTGGCTGGACTCCCCAGCTCCTACCTGAACATGCATTGCAAGTGGGAAGTCTGTGAGCAGACTGTAGACAGGCCTCCTGCTTGGGGAACTGAAGCAAGTTTGATTCACCTCGACCCACAGTAAACCCTCAGGAACGCGATGGGTTCATTACCAGTTACCTACACCCAGGGATAGGCAGGCACGTGGTGTGAGACTCTAGAATGCTGAGAGAGAGGTGAACGGTATAAAAACCTCGCACTACGTGGTATTGCAATATTTGATTACAAAATCAGAATGGAATACATATAAGGAATAAATATATGTATGATCTGTCTTTACATAGGGAATATATAATTTATCTATTATATGTAATTTGTCAATAATTTTTTTAAAATCTCCTACTAATGTAAAAGGCAGTTTCTCAAAGGTCTTGATGAGCTCCTCACTCGATTGGAATGTGGTAACTAGAAGCTGGGTGCATTCATTAGGATTTGAAAACCAAGGAAATTATCACCTCTTGCTGGGGGGGGCCCCTTCCTTTGCTCTGTGTAGACGTGTTATACCTGCAGTGAGTCTGTGGGCTCCTTTCTATCTATACTCTCACCTTCAGCTCTGCCACCTTGCTGGTGGTAGCTCAGGTCGCAGGTAGACAGTGGAGGGCTCAAGCAAGACCACATCTACAGGAAGTTGCTTCCCAACTCACAATCTCTTTTCTCAACTCCAGAATTTTAGTTCCATTCCCTGGTAGTGCTGGGTGCTACTGCCAAGGTCTGGACTGGGGGACATGGAGAGACGCTGAGGGTAATGGATGGAGATGTGGGAAAGGGATTTGTCTCTGTTCCCAGAAGAAGCAGGCAAGGTGAGGTTGCGGTATTTTGGCCTTGAGGTGTCAGTCGTCCCAGGTTCAGCCCACTCTTTGTCCTCTCCATTTCTTCTTGATGGTCTGAATGTTCTAGTTGTCATCCAGGCTCTGGTGAACAATCCAGGAATCAGCTTTGACCTCACACTCTCCTGTTTGCCCCGAGGAAGACACACATACCTCCCAAGAACGCATGAGCATCCACTCCTGCAGGGTTCTCCTTAGAACCTTGGGCATCAATCTTTTTCAGCTACCTACTTGCCTGTCTTTCTTCCTTCCTTCCTTCCTTCCTTCCTTTCTTCCTTCCTTCCTTCCTTCCTTCCTTCCTTCCTTCCTTCCTTCCTTCCTTCCTTCCTCCCTCCCTCCCTCCCTTCCTCCTTCCCTCCCTCCCTCCTTCCCTTCCTCTTTCTTTTTTTCTTTCCTCTCTTTCTCTTTTTCTCTCTTTTGTTTCGCTCTCACTGCCCACCCTTGAGTGCAATGCACGATCTTAGCTCACTGCAACCTCCGCCTCCTAGGTTCACGCAATTATCCTGCCTCAGCCTCCCAAGTAGCTGGGATGACAGGTGTGCACCACCACTTCCAGCTGATTTTATAGTTTTAGTAGAGAAGGGGTTTCTCCATGTTGGTCAGTTTGGTCTTGAACTCCCCAACTCAAGTGATCTGCCCGCCTTGGCCTCCCAAAGTGCTGGGATTACAGGCGTGAGCCACCACGCCCAGCCTCTTTCATTTTATTCTTACATGGATCTTTTCAGCAAACATTCTAGAGGCTTCTTGACTCCTATTCAATATCGTACTTGAGCCAAATGGTAACGAATTAACAAAAAAGCAACAACTTATTAAAACGCTCTTAATGTGCATTATATGTGGATGGGAGATTTCACTGTTAAGATCTAAAGGTCTGTGACTGTAGCTCATTGATAATAGATTAAGGACATGATGACATACTTCAGGTCGTTAGGTGGATTGCTTAAGAAAGTCTTCCTGAAGTCCTAAAGAGCGTGCCCCTCTGGAGTGGGTGACAGCTGCACAGCTCGTCTGCCATGCTCTGCCTGACTGCTGTTTTCACGTGGTGTTTCTTGTCTCTCCACTTTCAGGTAGAAATTGAGAAGCTGGATTACCATCATTACCTGCCTCTGTTTTTTGATGGGCTTTGTGAAATGACATTTCCCTATGAGTTTTTTGCTCGGCAAGGAATCCACGACATGCTGGAACACGGTGGGAACAAGATACTACCTGTCCTTCCACAGCTCATTATCCCGATAAAAAGTAAGTGAACAGGTGGAAAAGCATCACTCAGTGTATGTGGCACCACTTTCTGACAACCTGCTAATTAAGCAATAAGGCACGACAGACCGAGACGGTCCCCAGGTTCTGCAGGAATTCTCATGCATTGACTTAGGAGGCCAGACAACCCAAATCCCCAAACTTATATCCCATCATCAGTACTTCACTGTGGTCTAGTGAAGCCACATAAACAAACTGAGCTCCATGGGGTTTGTGCTAATTTAAAATGCCTCATAGTAATGACACAAGCGTTAACATTAACTTATGCATGCAGAAGTCTTTACCTGCTGCTGCTGACTTCCAAGTCTTTCTTTCTAAGTGGCATCTCTAACTTTTAAATTATAAATACACTTATGTTGAGTAAATTTAAAGTAGTAGGATTCATAATTTTAAGGAAAGGAAGCCCAGTCGCATGGGTGAAAAGGTGAGTGTTTTTGAATACCTGAAGCTTTGAATCTACAGTGGGTGACCTGGGTGACTCTGGGGTAGCCCTGTGACTGGCTCTGTCCGCCTGTGGAATGAGATTGCCCCTTCTTTCTGCGTGCGTCTTACTCTCATACTTGCATGGGCCCTGGGACTAGGCGTCTAAAGCACCTTCCTTGCATAGCATTTCTGAGGTTGTCCCAGGAGACGGCCTTCTGGGACTCCAGGACACTCTGTCCATTCTTACCTCGCCGCCAGAACTGGCATAGAGCCACACTGATGGGCACGCCTGGCATCCACTGGTACAGGATGAGGAAGAGGATAGCCTTTCCTCAAGTCCGGGTGGCAGTCCAGGCCCCGTCACCCAGGCCAGCACACCCCCTTCCCATCCCCAGAATTGCCCACCTGCCCTGCATTGCTGCTGCGGCTGACTACTAATTAAGTGCCTCCTCTGAACACTCATTCTGCAGATGAGGGAGATCCTACCATTTTCTCAGCCAGAGCTGCTCCGGGCACTTTCACCCCTGACTCCTGACCCAACTGCCCATGGCTTTGAGGGATGAGGAGGCCCCTGCTTCTCCCACCCCAAGTTCTGCCTCATCTCCCACTCCAGGATGGAAGGCTTCCCAAGATGATTGACAGAATGCTTAGCTAGTCTTCTAGGATGGGGAGCCCCACCCTCACCAGCTCAGGTGAGCTCTTGCCACATGGTTTCATCAGAACAAGAACAAGCTAGCTCCACATAGGGTCATCTCCCAGAGTCTGGATTAGTTAATCCTATCCGTGCTCACCTTCCATTCATCAGAATGTATCGTGATCAGCATGGTAGATTTCCACAGTTCTGCTCTCACTGCTGGCATCAAATCAACTCTGAAACTCTCTCTCAGAGCCTTAAGGTCTCTGTAGAGACCTGTAACTGACCACACCCCATTTCCACCAAGACAGAGAGTGTGAAACCAAACCAAAGGATGGTGCTACCTGATGTGAAAGTAACATGGAGAGAAAAGAGACCCTGAAAAGGGCCTTATTGAATAGCAGCTTGCTTCCCTCATCCACGGCTGCAGGAAGAGATGCTCTTTAGAGGCTGTCAGGGAGGACATAGTGTCCTGAGCCACATTAAAACCTTTTCCAAAAGTGATTTATTCCCTCAGATGGGTCACATTTTTGAATACATTAAATTCGACTTGAACTGCTACATTTCTAAAGGATGACATGTAGCTTTCTCTGATAAACAAGAAAGGCCCAGAATATTCTCCCCAGGAGCTATCTGTTCTTTTCCTCTGACAGAATAACAGCAATATTCGGACATATATTTTTTTAAACAAAATCAATGCTTCATGTTGGGATCACTGTCTTCTCAGGGGTCTCTCCCTCAGAGCCCCGTAGAAGACACTGGAAGGCAGAAAATGAATTTCTAAGTAATATTTTGATTATGCTGTTTGCAATTAAAACATACCACACTGGAGTTTTGCAGACCCAGGTGAAGTGATTTTCAGTTTTGTTTGATCTGTACTTTGAAGATACATAAATGAGTTAAGAGAGGAGTTGTTCGCCTGCATCTGCAGTGCGCGCCTACTAGAGGCCATCTGCTGATGAGCGAAAACGTTAGCAAGAGCTCAGGAGGCATGATTGGTCAGGGAAAATTAACTCGGTATGAATTGGATGATTTAGGGTTCCGGAAGCAATGGTAGAATATCTGGGTCGATGCTCGTGTGTGGCTTTCAGAGCTTCTGCTATTCAATACTGATCCTAAGTTTAACTGCTCCTTCCTTCTCCATCTGTTGACGTCACTAAAAGCCAGACTTTTCTCAGGGAGAAATGCTGATTACTTATGTAAGGTCATGCATGGCTCTAGCACAGTGTGAGAAATACTATGTGCATAAAGAAAATTTTTCAGGAGGAATTCCAGAAGGAGGCTAACTGATCTAGAAACAGACTGATGTATGTAATTGACATAACATATAAATAACATCTCTATGTACTTTATTTTCACCCCATACCCAATATTATTTTGACTCTTTCCAGAGGCAAAAATTAGCCTCACCGTCACCAGCAAGCAGACAAGAAGTTTTTCTTTTTTAAAAAGATTCCACCTAATATCTAGGAAAGCAAAGCAAAATGTATAAACTCACTGTGAGGCAGTGAGCTAGGATTAGCTGCCCGTGTATTTCTAGAACCTGGAGTTGATTTCAACAAATGAGAAGGCTGATAATATTGGAATGAGAAATTGACAAATCTACTGGCTCTGGGGTTTCTAATGTGATGATAACAAGCATCCACCATTCTTCCTTCTGCTGCTTGGTTCAAGCCCCCACCCTCTGTAATAACCCACACGGGTGGTCTCGGACACCTCTGTTTCATTGATGTTGTTTTCTGGCACAATACTGCAGCTCCCTTTTCCCGCCCACCTTTCTGATTTCCATCTTGAGTTATTTTGGGTCAGAAACTCCAAAATCATAACGCTGTAAAGTGCTCAGTGTTGGTGCCAGAGCACTGATTGCTGGGAACAGCAGCAAAGCATCACTGGGAGGCCGAGAAAAGAGCAGCCCTCTTAGCTGTCTGGATCGGGGATTGTCGATTCACATTTACTCCGTCCACTTAGGAAAAGACAAATCCCTCTCCATCCCTCAGAACAATACCAGGAGGCAGTGTCTGGAATCTCCGCATATGAAATTCAGAAGGGGATTCTTCTGAAGTAGCAATCAAGAGGACAGACGGGGCCAAGAGCAACTGGCAAACTGAGAATCTCCCTCCTCAGTAAAAGTGAGAACAGTAACAACACTGCAGCCACAGGGGGCCATGGGAAAACCTCTTCACACAGGGGAGGAGGCATCGTGCACAGAGGAAAAGAATACCTTAACAACATTTGGTATAAGAGCCATAGGAAACTTGTAGAAACGTGTTTGACATCCTCAGGATTCAGGAGGACATGGCCTCTGAGAAACAGAAGCAGGAATCCAGAAGATATTAGGCTCAAAGAGAAATAAGTCCATTTTGAATAGGACAAGGCAAAACTGAAAATGCCAGAGTAGAACTCAATTCTCCGTAGAAGTACAGAGAACGATCAGCTGTACACGGTCAATTATAAAGGCAACCTGAAGGAGCTCTCTCAGAAAAGACGAGTAGATAGAAATAAAGCGAGAAAAGATATTAAATTGGAGGACACAGGACGCAAAGGGGTTAACAGTTATGTGTTCCCAAGAGGAACTGTCAGGACAACAGGAATAGAAACCGGAATGGCAGAGCTGATTCAAAGAGGTGTTCTGGGAGGAAAAATTATCTCTTATTATGCAGGTAGAAAACACTCATGGCCATCTGAAGAAAATCAGTGAACACAGACTCAGGTGGAGGCACAACTTGCCAAAAAGTTTAAATTATAACATTTTTAAAAAATCCTTCAAACGTCTGGACAGGGGAAAAAGCTATATACCAAGAAATAAAACTAACTGGGGCTAAGATTTTTTGCAAGAATCAATTCCAGACAATGGAGCACTTTTTCGAGAATTGGGGGAGAAAAATGTTGGGCATGATTTTACCCGTCATGTGAATAAAAAACACTATGGACACAGTGACTGCAATATTCCCCTGTTCTTCATCCAGAAGGTGACTGGCAAAGTGCTCCAACTCACAGAATGTAAAGCACGGTGAGAATCCCTGTGTAAGGACAGTATGGTGTCCAAAGCAATCACTATTAAACCTAGAGTTAAGTCTAAGATGTGGATGGAAAAGAGTTTCAAAGCCACATGAAGTGTCGAATCATAATTTTGCATTAATGACTCTAAAAATCCCTAGAAAACTGGATTCTAAACCCACTAAGGCAATGCAGAAGATAAAGGTAGCTAAACAGAATCTGTCTATTAGAAGGACAAAAGCTGAGCAGACAGCAAGAAAGAGATAAGAACCAAAAGCACGAAATAAGATGAAGAATGCAACAGCCAATAGATCAGCTATGAAAATTAACTTTAAAACTGGAAAAACAAAATCTATATGTACACTCTAAAAAAACACAATCATACTTAAATATGTTTAAAGACATATTGGGATAAATAAAAAAGAAGTTGTGATTTTAATTTTAGAAAAGTAAAATTTCATTTAAAACTTTTTTACATGAAATTTTACTTTTCTAAAATTAAAGTGCATAAAGGGGATCAATTTATAATGATTAAAATATTCACAATAAAAATTTAGTAGTCATGACCCTCTGTGTACTGCAAACTTGACATCACATTTGAGATAGAATCAGCTGCTGCTGCTGATAGTTTTCACCCCTGGAAGGAAGGTAGACTTCTTGACTGAGAGCTGAAAACATACCTGTCCTTCCTCTAGTGCTTGACCTTCGACTTTAAGATCCAGGATCTTCACCAAGCCCAAGTGAACAGCCTGCCCTCTAAAGCACCGCTTTGAGCCTTCAGTGTGCATCTGTGGACCTTGTGGATCAATAGATGCATATGGACCTGAGATGCTCCATTTCTGACAAGTCCATGGTCAGTGCTGATGCTGCCCGGCTGAGGCAAGGCCTGCCAGGGCACAGAGGGTGCTTGGACACCCCAGGCCCTGCC